GTGCCGTTTTGTTTGTACCTCTTAAAGCACTTACATAGGTATATATTTCAAAAGTCATTTAAAACTTATTTTTCTCTGACAATTATGTATATTTTTAGTAGCAACCTTTTTTGTTCATCTCAAATTTTAGCCATACTCTGTTAGTACCTGAGATCATTGAGCTGCTAGATTTGTTGCAATATGGAAATCCCATTGCATCCTTTCAAATGCCTTTTTGTTTGTCAAAATCATTGATATGTTTTCCCCAAAATATGCTCTTCCAAAAAAATTCTGTGATCAGATAAGCTCGGGTAATGCGTTGTTGAAGCACTGTTGAAGTGTTGCATTGAATATGCAACGACAGTAACAACATATATTAGCATGTCTAAGTCTGTGACAAGTACTGCCATAAAGAAACCCATATTTACTGCCCCCTCCAAAAAAAAAAGAAACCCATGTTTAACTGCGTTCAGCAGCATTTCTCGATTTGGTTGACATCAGAAGCTTTTTAAGGGCTTGACCTTTGTTAACATCCCATTCAACTTCTATGCTTGTGAAATGCTAGTCTAGAGAAATAATTATTTTTGAGTAAGTCATCAGAAATATTCTGCATTTTCTGACAGTCTCTGAGGTCTTTACTGTTATTAAATGCAGATAGTCTGGCTTCAAAATTGCAGGATTGTGGTAGTGATTTCAGTAAATCCTCACAACTGGATTATGTTTAACTCACTAATATAAAAAAATTATTTCTGAGTTCTTATACTGTACTCAGCCCTATATGAATAGATGGAATTGGGGACAGGGATGTTATACCATGTGACCTGGCCTCTGTTTTCAAGGGGTTTAAATCTTAAAGATATATGAGACTCAAATGCAGACAAAGTTACTGAAGGCAACAGAACTTTTCGTGTGTCAGTAAGTGCTAAGCTGTTTTGTCGACCCTACGAATCTTGGGTTATTAGAAGTAGTGAAGGCCAAGGTCGTCTCAAAGGCCTGCTGAGGAATTGAGAGAGTTGAGCCTTGAACTGTGTCTTCAAGAGTGGGCAGGTATGGTCAGGCAGAGGGGAAAGACAAAGTGGGATAAAGGCACATAAACTGCATGAGTTGTGTTGTAAAAACTCATGCTGTGGGTGACCTGGAAGAGATCAACCTGCTTGTGCTGGGAGGGAAGAGGAGCTGCAGTGTTTTGCAAAAATAGAACTGCGATCAATGTAGAAAATAAGAACTGCCCCTCCTTACTTTCTCTCCAAAACTGGGACCTAGAATGTCTTCTAAAATGTCAAATTGTATTTAGTGTATTTCTTTGGAATATACAAAAGAACTAATACTTGAATACTTAGAGAAGTCCACATGATTAAAAACAAGGCTGGTTTGGAGAATGAAGGGGAGGATGAACATCGGAGAGTGGTTAGAAATAAATACACCTTCAGGCAAGTGTCAATGAAATGCTGTTTTCTAAGCAGTCAGCAACCACACCTATGTGTTGGGGTCAGTTAGGTCTGTTCGAAGGGATGTCCTTTTTAGCTCCCTAGATATTTACTGAGCAAAATCATTGCCTCTTTCCGTAATGAAGCCACACAGGTATGTCATATGTACTTGACTAGTGGAGTCATGGCCTTGATTGATAACAACCAACAAAAAGCTATAATTTTGTGTGTGTGTGTGTGTGGTGGAGTCTTGCTCTGTCACCCAGGCTGGAGTGCAGTGGCATGATCTCGGCTCATTGCAATCTCTGCCTCCTAGGTTCAAGCGATTCTCATGCCTCAGCCTCCCTAGTAGCTGGGATTACAGGCACATGCCATCATGCCCAGCCCAAATTTTTAAATTATGTGTTTACTATGGTTTATGTTGAATCGGATAGATGTTTATATTATTCATTCTCATTTCATTTTTTTCATATTGTTAAAAAATGAACTTCGCACATTAAAATTTTAAGGAATTTATTTGTGCAAATAGTGATTCATGAATTGGGCAGGTCTAAACTGGAAGGAGTTTAGGGCTCCACTGAAGGAGCATGAAGGGAAAGCTTTAGTAGGTTGAACTCAGAAGGAAGGCAAATAAATTATTTGATGGGTTAAAGTTTGAGCAGTTGTGTTATTTGTACTGTCCCAGGGGAAAATTCTTGATTATATAACTAATGCTCAGTTGGCTGCTGGTGATTGGCTGAGTTTAAGTTTTATTTTGCTTATGTAGAAACCCAGGACCTTGAAGTCATCTCAGCCTGTTAAATTTATTTTAATAGTTTATATATATGAAAAGGATGAAGGTAAAGATTTCATATGTATATGAAATATTTTATTTTTACATTGTAATATGAAATGATTCCCCCACCCCCACCCCACCGACCAAAGGGCAGCAAGGGTAGCATACTATATTTGATTATAGTGTCAGTATTACTGATACTGGAAACATTTTTCTTCACAACTACCAAAGAATGACATACAGTCCCTGGAGTTTGGGGCAATAACCTTGAGTCTGAATTAGGATGAGTGAGCAGCCCATCACCTCATTCACACCTCAAGAAAGGTTTATCAAAAGTACAGTTTATCAAAAGTACACTACAGGATTTACTTTTCCTTCTACAGCAGGGATCCTTGTTCTAAACCGAATGATGAGTAAGTTTGGATAGTAGCAGATGAGCTTTGTGGCTTCCCTTTTTTCTTTTTTGCCCAGCCTCCATTTATCCTTAACAAGCAATCTTGACTCAGAAACACAAAAGAAGGTAGCAGAATTATACTGGTATTCCCATGTAGTGGGCTATCTTCTAAGTGAGAAAGATAGACTTTTAAAGTGCTTAAAATGCTGAAATAGGATTGGTTTTCTAAGAAGAATGAAGAAAACCTTCTTGCAATGTCAATGAAGAAAGGATAATATTGTTATTGACAGCTAAGAAGGTGGATGTACTGCAGGCTAGCAGCCATCACTGGTTCTTTGCCGCTGGTGGTGATTATTGTGCTGTGGCTGTGATGTCAAGGGTGCATCTGAGAACTTCAGAGAGCTTACTGAGCTTCCTAGTCTGCCCCAGCCCCGTTGGGTTACTGGATTCATCGTAACATAAGTGAGAAATCTATATTTAATTGCTTTTGGTTCGTGCTGTTTCATATAATGGCCTTATTGTAACCCAAGTGACTTTTCTTTCCTTTGTTAAATAAAACAGTGATTTACATGGCTTTTAAAGAATAAAGCAAGCAAAATGAGAAGGCTTAGTCAAAAATGTGGTTCATAAGTTTTATTATTGTTCTACCTACTTAGAACTGAGGCCTTCCTGAGTAGTGTTCCACTTAAGGAAATTTTCATGGCCGAAATCTCGTTTTTTGTACAGAATGGAAATCCATGACTTGCTTAGAATTAAAAACACTTGTGCATTTTTAGTTATAGCCTCTATAAATGTTTTTCTTTTTTTAAAGGGTAGATATACAAATATGTTGAGACTTGCTTGATGGCAGCCAGAGATACCAGTTATTCTAGTTCCCCTCTAAAATCTGAAGACAAAAATCACATTCCCATTGTGCCTGTCTGAGGGAACAACATAAGGGCGAATTTCCTTTCAGCTAATTTGTGGAATTTCAAGAAAATGATGTTTCAACTTCATCATTATAGGAATGATATGATTTTTCTTCCCTGCACTCAAAAGTGTAGAATTATGCATGTGATTGGACATTCTTTGCCCTACTACTGAGCTCTTGGTTATGTTCTAGTCTCTCAGAACTCTGTAAGGAGTGTCACAGCCAGTGATGGAGAAAAGACATCCTGCTGTTTTTGCCTGTACCTTTCCATGCCCTTTGCCCTGGAAAATCTATTTTCTTACCCCCATGATTCTGTTTCCTATGAAGAAGGATCAAAGCCGTGGAGTAAATGCCCCCATTTCTTTTTCACAGTAATTTTATAGTTTATGAATTGAGGATATCAGAGGTTGATCAAGAATAACTATCAGTAAGGCCAAGAATTGTCATAGGATTGCATACCTTAGAAATCATAATTGAGCTCCTTAATTTTGTACATGAGGAAAGAATTCACAAAGCAAGTCAACCTAATTTTTTTTGCCTTGAAAATTGTTTCGTAGCCAAACGCAGTGTTTCACAGCTGTAATCCCAGCACTTTGGGAGGCTGAGGTGGGGGGATTGCCTGAGGTCCGGAGTTTGAGACCATCCTGGGTCAACATGGTGAGAAACTCTTAATATTATGTCTCTTAAGAAAGTAAAAAATTACCCAGATGTGGTGGCACACACCTGTAGTCCAAATTATTTGGGAGGCAGAGGTAGGAGGATCAGTTGAACCCAGGAGTTCAAGGTTGCAGTGAGCCATGATCGCACCACTGCACTCCATCCTGGGCAACAGAGTGAGACCCCATCCCTGGAGAAAAAAGGAAAGAAAACTATTTCCTTTTCAGAGTTTTTTTTCCAGGTGCAATTTCAGTCCTTTCTGAAGTAACTAACGTGTAAAAACAAGCCTTTTAACAAGTGCATGTGTGGTTGATGGTGGGGAGAAAATGGAAACTTGCTTTTAAATGTCTATTCAGTGTTAAAATTTATAAGCTATTTAAAACCATGGTTTTTAAATGAGAATAACTCTCATATATTAGAATATGTGTATTTATCAAAGGAAAATATGCATATATTTTAACAAAAATTTAAGAAGAATTTAAGTATAGAAATTGATGTAAAAATATTTGATCACGTGCAGTAAGGATTGTGGCATCTTTCTTTATCACGATGCTCTTCCATTGGCATTTAAAAAAAATCATTAAAAATATCTGAATGACTGAATCCATTCTATGCAACAAAGAGAGAAATTCATTATGCCCATGCCATGTTTTTGAGCAAATATTGAGTTGATCACTTCAGTCAGTAATGTGTTTGAATTTGGCTTCTGATCTTCATGAAGAAGAAGATCTTTCAGATCATGTTATCAACGTGCTGAATTTACCTTGTGTTTTTTCTCTTTCATTGTTTCCCTCTGATGTGGCTGCTGTGTTGACAACCCTCTGTATCCCTGCTGCTGAATTTTTTTCCATCATTAAGGAAACCTCCCAAGGTAAGCACTAATATGAAATTTGGCATGTATACTGGCTTAGTGTGCAAAAATCCAGGATTTAACTCATCACTGGAACCCATGTAGAACATCTGTCTCACTGAGAACTAAAAACAGCATCCTAATTTAAAACTCATATCATGAACAAACAATATCAGTATTACATAAAATTAGAGTGTCACTCTATGTTGACAAAGCACTTTCACACGTTATTTCATTCCGGAATGAATGCTGTAATCTTCAAAGCAAACCTGTCAGGTTATTGTTTCTATTTTTTTGATGATGAAATGAGACTCAGAGAAATGAAACAGTGTGTACTAACTCACAGATTGAGTCAATGGAAGAGCTGGAACTGCACAGTATCAACACTCTGGAAAGTAGAGGAACAAACATGGTGACATAATAGGATAGCAGTTGGTAACTATGATTACTGATTGGACAAACTGTCTTTTTCTGTGCCCCACTAAGAATAGTTTTTATCACTAAGTTTTAAATAGAGATTCAGCATTCTACCAACTTTATATGCCTCATTGGAGTTCCTAGCCCATCACAAGGGCCTCTAGTTAGTTTTTATCCCATCTGCTCTGGCCAAACTTTGATGGCATCTTTACCAGTGAGAAGCCCAGAAGTTAAAGAATAGTTAGAAGAGGGAAGTGGGGGAATATGAGAAGTAAGGAATCTGAATGATCAGCCCCTGAATAACTGAAGATTGATTTTGTTACCAGTGAGCATTTTGTTGAGTATCAGAGGGACACTTAGCAGCAAAAGGAATGAGAAATTTGACCAGCTTCTGGCCAGTGATTACTGATGGTTGTGGTTCTTGAGAAAGGATTCGAACAGGCTTTCCCTACACAAACTGTATGGTCGGAATCTAAGACAAGTTGGGTGACGGTATGGAATCCAGAAAAGACAAAGCTTACTTTCCCCCGGGGTTATGAAGAACAATCCATCTTAGCTTGTGGATTATGGAAACCCACTAAAATGCTGCTTCATGCTTTATGCTGATTGAGGACATTGTCCTTGGCACTAAGAGTTTCAACTTTAGCAGGGAAGGCATGCGTTGAACAAGTAATATGAGATCTATTAATAAAGAGGAAATACATGATATTAGAAGAGTATTGGCAGTGGCATTCTGGCCAAATCTAGGGAATCAGGAGATTCTCCGTGAGCAATTGTCAATGTAGATATAATCCCTAAAATTGGTCTCTGCTGGAACATATGAGTGCTCTTTATCTAACTTTTACTTCCCTTTTCCTGGTCTCCACAGTTTCAGAACAATCAGTCTTATAGCATATTTAAGTATTTCCCCACAGAAAAATATCAGTGAAATAGTGTGAAGCTCCACATATGCCTACTTAGTGGAGGAAAAGCACTGAAATGAAAAAGAGACACAAAAACATTTTTTAAAATCACTATTGCTTTGTACATAGGAATATTCTTGTCACTTTCTAGTGGTTATATTTAGCCTAGTAGTTACATATTTGCTGGATATACTGTTGATTGTTCCTAAGACATGTCATGAAATTTTCAAAATAAAATTAAAGCTGAATCATGATATTAAAAGAAACAGTGCATATATGCATGCCATAAGGCACATCTGGAAAGCATAAAAATCACCTTGAAATCAAATAAATGACACCATAGAATCAAATAAAGACGGATACTAAGTAGACACAGGCCTTTCCTCATATAAACTATGTAAATGTTGAAAGAAAATGGGAAAGGGAAAGGTGCTTTTAATGATGATTATGTAAGAATAAAATTGTATTTAAAACGGTGAGATTTGGGCATAAGTAATCAGCAAAAGCATCAGAGAAGCCTGGTTGATTCGATCTAGCAAATAGCTATTCTGGGCAGTGGATAGCTGCTGCACAAGCCAGACCCAGTCCTAGCGTTCTAATGGGGATGGGGGGGGGAATAGAGTTGACCCCTGAACAACACAGGTTTGAACTACCCAGGTCCACTTATGCACAGATTTTTTTCAACCAAATACAGATCAAAAATAGAGTATTCTCGGGACGTGAAACCCATGTATACAGAGGACCAGCTTTTCATATAGGTAGGTTCCAGGGGACGAACAGAGTAAGACTGGAGCCTGTGGATTTTGGTATACATGGGGGTCCCCACATATACCAAGGGATGATTGGTTTGTGCACAATGTAATATAAAATTAATTGTATTAAAGACCACAAGAAGCAAAATATTTATGAAATTCACAGGATGAAAGTTCTGTGAGGTGAGTTCTACACCTCTGTACCTTCTATACAGTAGCCATTTAGCCATAAGTGGTTTATGAGCGTATGCTATGTGGCCATTGTTCCTTGAGATGTATTGTAAGTGCAAAATATAGCTAGATTTAGAAGGCTTGGTACAAGAAAGAAAAATAATGTGAGATATTGTTTATATATTGGGTTAAATATGTTGTTAAATTATTTCATCTCTTTTTACTTTTTTTTTTTTTTGAGACAGGATCTTACTCTGTCACCCAGGCTGGAGTGCAGTGGCGCAAGCTCAGCTCACTGCAACCTCCACCTCCTGGGTTCAAGCAATTCTCCCACCTCAGCCTCCCAAGTAGCTGGGACTACAGGCATGTACCACCATGCACAGCTAAATTTTTGTATTTTTCAGTAGAGACAGAGTTTCACAATATTGGCCAAGCTGTTCTCGAACTCCTGGCCTTAAGTGATCTGCCTGCTTTGGCCTCCCAGAGTGCTGGGATTACAGGCATGAGGTCTTCTTTTTACTTTTCAGTGTCTCTACAAAAACATTTTAAATTATTTATGTGGCTAGCATTGTGTTCCTATTGGACAGCTCTGTTTTAGATCAAACACATGGCTTATTACTGAACACCTTTCAGTATGCTTCCTAAGGCTTTTGCTTGTTTTATTACCCAGTCAAATGCAGCAGAACTACCTTGATCTTTTACACTTTTGCTTTTATATCTGGGTCCGAGAGTGCTGCAGCTGTGTGAACTCAGTGACAGCATAACCTTTTTGGTATGCGTTTTTCCTAGAATTATTTTTACTTATCCATTCAGAATGTGTTAATTCAGCAAACATTAAATGAAAACTTTCTGTGAAGAGTTTTGTACAAGGAGTTTGTGGGGCTCAAGAGTGATTAAGCTAGTAGTTATTGTTTTCTAGAATTCATAACGGGATGAGGAAGATTAGATATACTGTAAGTAATGGAAAATAGATTATGGTAACATCATCATTCACTCCGTCAGTACTTTGTGTCTTGTGTCTTCAGAGGAAGAAGTCTTCATAGCTAAACATGGAGCTTCAGGAGGCCTGCAGGTATGGAAAAGTTTTCAAAGGGCAGAAATTTAGGATAAGAATCAAGATATAGGAGCCGGGCCCAATAGCTCACACCTGCACTCCCAGCACTTTGGGAGGCTGAGGTGGATGGATCACCTCAGATCAGGAGTTCGAGACCAGCCTGGCCAACATGGTGGAACCCCATCTCTACTAAAAATACAAAAAAAAGTTAGCCAGGCATGGTGGTGGGTGCCTGTAATCCCAGCTACTCAGGAGGCTGAGGCAGAAGAATTGCTTGAACCTGGGAGACAGAGGTTGCAGTGAGCCTAGATCCTGGCACCACACTCCAGCCTGGGCAACGCTATCTCAAAAAAAAAAAAAAGTAAAGTACGTAAAGTGTTAAGGAAGACAAACAAAGTAATTGATATATTAGGAAATTGGTTGCACACCCTGGTTAGAGTATAGAGTTCATGAAAGGGAGATTGTGTTTTAAAAAACTGGGAGAGTGTGTAGTTTACAGAGGGTTGGGAGTCTGAACTTAATCTGGTAGGCTGTGAAGATCATTTAGGATCTTTGTATAGAAAAGCTACATGATCAGAACTGTACTTGCAAGAAATTCATATGACTACAGGATAGAAGATAATTGATGAGTATAGATTGTAGGGTGGATAATAATCTAGGTTCATCTTAAAGAAACTGCTTTCTGCAGCCTGCTTATCCTCCGTGGTGCAGCAGTAACAACCTTAAATGTTCAATGGCTAGAAATAACAAAAATACCTCTCTGATGTTACATGTCAGCTGAGGTTTCCTGTGGCCCTGTACCGTATGACTTCAGGATTGCAGGAATAACCACTATCTGGGACTTGCTAATACTGTGGCAGAGTAGAACAAAAGAAAGAGAACCGTGCAGTGCCTCCTTAAAGCTGTTGCCCAGACTGGCATATGTCACTTTGTTCACACTTAATTGGCCAAAGCAAGTCACACAGCCAAGCCTGATGTCAGTAGGGTCAGAAATTATATTCCTTCCTACTACAGGCATTTCATGTGATGTGGCGGTAGGCAGGGATGTGTAATTCCCTTACCAGGAAGGCCGGGAGTCGTTTGGAACAGTAATACAATATACCACATTTTGTCATTATAAATCACATTTCTAAAAATTTCCCAAGGCCTTTTTTTTTCTCTTTTCAACAACAAAAACATCCTCAGAAACATAGTGCTGTGATTGTGGTTATGGTTGTTGTTGTTTTTGTTGTTTTGAGACAGAGTTTCACCCTCGTTGCTTAGGCTGGAGTGCAATGGCGTGGTCTCGGCCATTGGGCAACCTCCACCTCCCAGGTTCAAGCAAAGTGCTGTGTTTTTCTACCTTGAAATTTTTATAGGTTCTACTCCTCTCCCCTTTCCTTCTGCCCAGCTTTGTTCAGAACCAGATGTTCTCACTGTAACTCTGTGCCTTTAGATGTCTACAGTGCCCCCAGCGGAGTACCAGGTCATGTGGAATGTGGCCCCCAAGAAGAAAGGATATCTACGTCCCTTGTTTCTTGTTGCTGATCCATCTCCCTGTCCAGAACGGTGAAAGCCTTCTGGACCAGGGAGTCTCTTGGATTCCACGTGGCCTGAATAAGCCCCAGAAGAGGGAACTCTTTATCAGTCTTTTCCAGCATGACTTAACTGAGAGTGAATGTTTGCAACCCCTGGGCTGCCTCATGTCCTTTAGCTTTGATGACCTGGGGCTGTGGAGTCAGCCCA